TTCAAACCCCAGTATCACCAAAAAGAATAAAAATAAAAAGTAAATGTGCTTATAGTCCTACAAGAAGGGGAGATAAGTAAAACAACTGGCACAAACTAGATGTGTTACCTTTCCATTACGTGACAAAATATCTGAGATAATTAAGAAGAGGAAGAGGAAATGTTTATTTTGGGACATGGTTTCAGGTTTCAGTCCCTGGTCACTTGGCTCTGTTGCTTTAGGCCTGTGAAAATCAGTACATCATGATGGGAGCATATGGCAAAAGAGGCCTGTTCACCTGATAGACAGAAAAGCAAAAGGGAGAGGAAGAGGCGGGGCCAGGTTCCCAATATCCTGTTCAAGGGCATGTCCCCAATAACTTCCTTCTGCTCGGCCCCACCTTCAATACATGTGGCTTTGAGGGGCATTCTATATCCAAACTATAGCAATGCATATTCACCAATCAGAATGGTTGAGGCCAGACTCCATTTTATACTAAGTATCAGTCCTAAGTACCCAAGGAGCAAAAAATCTAGGGTTTTTCGAGCATGCATTTCATGTGAGGCTCATAAATTATACCATGCTTTGCAGAATATATTACTTCCAAAGATGAAAAAACTGAGACTCTGAGGAAGTTCTCACAGTTAGATTAGAATCTGTCAGAAGTGACACTTGAATCCATGATTTCTTTACAATCCCAATCATCATGCTGCTTTGTGGATAGGAAGGAGCCAAGAAAGGGCAACGTGAAGTTGTGAACCAGGTCACAGACTGCACCTTATCCACACAGATGATCAGGTATTCTCTTTGTCTTCCCAAGAATAGAAAGTTGTCAAGGTGTCAAGCCCAATGAGAAACTTTGGACTTCAAATGTGGAGCCCTTCATGCTCACGGCCTCAACCTGAGATATTCTGCAGACCTAGCTTTTCCCTTGAATTTCACTTTAGGAAGGTTTCACATTTTCCAGTCTCAAGCAATTCAAGGAAAGCTCCTCACCAGTTAACTGTAGCAAAATTAGGCCAGTGACAAACTGGCAGACATGGGATCCTCTGGAGGGCCTCAGAAAACACAGATAGGGGGCTCCAGCAGGGCCCCAGCAGTTTCTGAACAGGAGGTTAGAGAAGGGTCTGAGAATTGCATTTCTTATTATTTGGGGTTTTGATTAGTAGAAATTTATAGTAAAGAAAACTTGGGAAAGGACACGTCAATGGGAATGGCTGGCTTTTGTTTAGGGGAAGGAAAGCAGACTTTATTTCAGATAGTTGTAAACCATGAAAACAATTAGCCCCTTTCTTCTTGCACTGATTTAAGATGGGCAGGAAAACAAGTTTAGCACATATTTATCCCTCACTTCTTCCTTCTAATTTATTACAAATCCATGCTATATTTTCTTCATCCAGGATAGCTTCAAAACATTCTGATATTGACTGTTTGACTTTTTCCCCCTAAATTTTATGTGCTCGGTCATTTTTCATCTAATTCACTTATATAATTTGGGCTGTTTTCTTATATGACACTAAATAATTGTAGAACAGGCAATGTTTATGTTAACTAAATGACTCCCTATTCACCATCTGTTGTTGTTTCTTCCTAAGTGGAACAAACTTCCTTCTGAAAGCTGCAGTCACAAATTGCTGTGGATGGTCATTTAAGAGATAAAAATTCCATAAACTCAAGTTAGCCCAGACATTTTATAAGCGTTGTTAAGCTAATGCTGGGGAATGGAAAACAGTAACTCACTATGGGCCTTCAAGTGGGGATTTATTTTCTCTGCTTATTATTGACAGCTAGAAATGGCTATATTAAAGCAGAGAAATATTTCAGCGATGCAGAGCAAAGGTGACTTCCTGTTTTGTTTTAGACTTTTGTTTCCCTCCCTTCTCAATGCAGGCTGTGTTTTCTGACATTCTGCGATCCTTTGCTCAGTGATTTCCCATTGAAAGGGCGGAGTGCTAGGGCCTCTGCAGGTCATTCCCGGTACAAAGCTCTGAAAGAGAGGGGGTGGAGGGAGGCTTGGGGAGGGAAAAAGGAGACTGTTTTGGAAGGAGCGGTCTGTTTTCTATTTTCTCTTCCGGATAGAACTCATTTTGATGGGAAGTGTTTTATTGGAGTTATCATCGTCATCATTACCTGTGTGGGGTAGTTTTCCTATACAGTTTTTCAAGTGTTAAGCGAAATTTTTGTTTTGGAGAAGAGTTGGATAACAAATGCTCTTATATATTACTGAGAAAACGCAGAAAGAAATAAAAAATCCAAGTGCTTTGAAGCAGTTTCCTCTCTTAAGTTTAAAAAAATAAAACGCAAAAGTTTTAATTTTACAGGGCGGAGAAAAAAATTGAGAGGAAAAAAGAAAACAAACAAACAAAAAAACCTCAACCCATACTGCAACCAATCCTTTTGCTCAGTGATTTCCCAGTGGGAAATCTACGGGTGTACCGGTACCCCTAGATTTGTAACCTGGGCAGCATTTCTTCTCTTTATAAAAGTCAGTTAAGCAAAATGCAGACCTCTGTGGTCGCTAGTTCTGAGTTGATAAGGCTAGGCTACTGCTCGCAGAAGTCTGCTTCTGCGACGTGGACTTTTAAAGTCACTTTGCTTAAGCGACCTTCTGCAGAGCGGGTGGTCCCCGAGGAAAAGCTGGGCTGCAGTTTGCTGAAAGAAAATCGCTCCAGGGGGTAGGGGTTTGGGTGGATACCCAAATGCGGGACCGAGGGACTCCTCCGTGGGGATTGTGGTGGGCTCTTCAGGGAAGGGCGGGGCTCATCTCTGGGGCCAAAGATGGGCTTCCCAACGTGGGAGCAGGAAAGAGGTGCACGGCTTGAGTTGGCGCTGTCTTGGGTTATCTCATCCTCCCTGCGTGGCAAGGCTTCCCACCCCACAGCCGGGTCCCCGTGCGCCCACTCCCTTCCCGAGACTGAGAAGGGCGTCGGGGCACCAGCCGCCCACTAGGCTTCTTCCGCTGGTCCCCAGGCTGCAGTTGTCGCAGCTCACACAGAAAATTAGATATTCCTCGGCCTGCAGGACTTGGCCAACTCTTCCTGCACCCTTCTCTCCCATCAGATTCCTCCTCCTTCTTCCCCCTCACACCCCTCCTTTCCCTATCCTCCTCACAGTGGAGCATTTAATGCTGCTGCTTGCACCTTTTTGTGATCCAGGGGACGTGACACCCAGAGCTCCAACTACCTTAGCTGAATTCTGCTTTTGTTTTTATTTCTCTCTTCTTGCGCTCCTCTCGTCTGATTGATGTGCAAAGTCTGATGCTCTTGCCAGAGCGAGAGGAATAAATAGATGCCTCTGCGCGCAAAGGCTTAGACGGCGGAGAGGAGCAGCCAAAGCGGCAGCGCGGAGCTCCGCTAAGCTCTGGGACCCCATCTGGGAAATTCTATCTGAGCAAGCCAAATCAGAAGCTCCTAAATCATCCGGGAGGGAGCTGGATACGGCGCTGCGGGCCTCTCGGCGTGCGTGGCTCGGCTGTGCCCGGCCCCAGGCCCCATCCCGCCAGGACCATGGTCTGCTGCAGCCCCGGAGCGCGGCTGCTGCTGCGGGCCGGGCTGCTCGCCGCCCTGGCTGCGCTCTGCCTGCTACAAGTGCCCGGAGCCCGGTCTGCAGCCTGTGAGCCCGTTCGCATCCCCCTGTGCAAGTCCCTGCCCTGGAACATGACCAAGATGCCCAACCACCTGCACCACAGCACCCAGGCCAATGCCATCCTGGCCATCGAACAATTCGAAGGTTTGCTGGGGACCCACTGCAGCCCCGACCTCCTCTTCTTCCTCTGCGCCATGTACGCACCCATCTGCACCATTGACTTTCAGCACGAGCCCATCAAGCCCTGCAAGTCGGTGTGCGAGCGGGCCCGGCATGGCTGCGAGCCCATACTCATCAAATACCGCCACTCGTGGCCGGAGAGCCTGGCCTGCGAGGAGCTGCCGGTGTACGACCGGGGCGTGTGCATCTCTCCCGAGGCCATCGTCACAGCGGATGGAGCGGGTGAGTCTTGACACTGACCACTGTCCCTTCCCCTCTCACTCCCAGGCGTCCTCGATCTTCGCCTATAACCTCTCATAAGCGTCTTTTCTCTTGGGATCGCTTAATCTCTCCCTTAATCACTACTCTCTTGAGTAGTATTCTTTTTATGATCTCACTTAATCGCCCTTCCAAACGGAAGCAGTTCTTTCAATAGGTGATGTGTCTTTCTAAAACACTCCGTTTGTTCCACTCCCCTCATACTACTATTGCACGCTGACCCTCACTTTCTCCTCCTCACATGAGGAAGTAGCCACATTTTATATACCTGGGGTTTGTTCTTACTTTCTTGTGTCTTGCCTGAGTCTACTGCAACTTCAGTCCTGAGGTTGGTTTCTGTATCTTTAAGATTGTATTTAGAAAACCGAAACCCTCATTTTCATCTAGCCATTTAAAATGCTGAGATAATTTCAATAACCTTATTTCACCCCACAGATGTTAGTGGTCTGTGTTTGCTCAAAACCAATTTGAGCAATTACCTTCACCTTAAATTTCCCCTTCCTTTTAATGAGTTAAATTGTAATTCCATTCCAGAATGAAACAGCTGTGAAACATTGCTATGCACTGCTAATTAGCTTCTGTGGCTTGCTGCAGCCATAGAGCTGGCAGACTGAAATTGGTGAGCTCTTTTCACATAAACACATGCCTTCAAGTGTCACTTTGTAAATGGAATATGGATAAAGGAGTTATATTTTAGGCATGTTATCTTCATATGCTTATATGATGTTATTTTTAATTTCACCCCTTATCCCACTCTCTGCAAATGATTTGTTTCATGCTCCTTGTGTGTGCACCATTCACTCTTTCTCCACCATAAAACTTTAGTGAAAGTCTACATTTAATGAAGTCAGTCACAAGTTGTTTTCTCACTGGTGTTTGGTCTAATCATAACATTTGTAACTCTAAGCCCCCAACTAAAACCAGCTCACTATGGTCCATTTAATTTCTAACTCAATATTACGTGTACCAACTAATCTAAACTGTAAATTTTACCCTTCATATATTTTAATGATGAAGCTTAAAAAGAAACCTAATTGTCCTCATTCGTAACCTCCCCCAGATCAACTGTTCTTAGACATCTTGCCTTGGTTGCCCCGTTTCTGTCTATTTGTTGGGCACCAACTTTTCCTTTTTCTGCCTACACTCACGTCCCCAGCCCATTCTAATTAATAGTTCTTAGTTATCAGAGAATTGACTCAGAAAGACACTTTCGTTGCACAGTGACTTACCTGCTTCTGCCTACCAAGTCCTAGGATTATAGACATGCCACCATGCCCCACCAAGTATTGTCTTCTTGATGTTAACCAAGAACCAAGAGGTAGTTGTTTAAAATAACCAAAAAGAAGTGTATTTCTCATTACTCTTTGGGCTAAATGAGAACTCTTGAGCCTTTGCACTCACTAAAGTCATAGACTGTGCAGACTCTGGAAGAGCTGAATGCAGTTGCTGTCCTGGCTTGCCAGACACTTAGAATTAGTTAACTATTGGCACTCTTCTCAGGTCAAGGACTAGAAATGAAGTGGAGGTTCACTCTGAAATGCATCTTCTCCTTAAAGGACAAAACTTGCTCTTAAACTTCTCCTAGAGTTGGCCCTGGAATGAATAAGGTTTGGCAAGGCTAATGTCTCTCAAAAAAGCCATAGTCAATATGGATGGGAAGCAGTTTCATTAAGTGTCCTTGAGTTACCTACCACCGTACACCAAATGTGGAACAATTGCCTCATTGAAGTACTCAAACAGGACATGCATGGAAACAATTTGTCAGACCAGGGGACTTGGTTTCTGAACTGCTTTAAAATGCCATAGTATTTGTTTTGCTGACAGCATCCTTGCTAGGAAAATAAGTAAGGGTAGATGGTAGATGGAATCATATTTTAGTGATTGCTCCCCCAACCAGTCTTCAATGTGAATCAGAGACTGTGGTAGCAGAAGGGAGTTAAAGGAGGGGAATGCTGTGGCACATTCTAGCCTGAAAAGTCCCCTGGCTTCCAGAGCTAGTCGTTGAAGATTACCCATTCCCTATGTTGGGTCAAATTATCAGACACCTGGAACTACTTAGGAGCTACCACATGTGACAGTTTTATTTATGCTACAATATACTCCTTGGTTTAGTGGGCTGTGATAGTTAGTGAAGCAGATTCTTTTTTCTTCCTCTAGGTATAAACAGAGTGCCTGTGTCTGTGGCTAGAACCTATCCAGCTAGATACAAAAATGAGATCTCCCTGAATAAAATGGGACAATCTTTCACAGTCCTGTGTTATCAAGAGGATTTTCAAATATTACCATTCATGATTGTCTGTTCCCTCATAGTATATTGTGACGCCACAAACAAGCTTAGGACATTTTACAAAGCAAAGTCTTTCTGAAATACAGTAATGTTACAGACCACCTTTTGCTTTCAAAACACTAAGGGTAAACATTCTTTTATTAAGAACATTACTAATAAATTCATCTTACGTTCACACACTCTATGTTTAGTATAGAATGTGGCTTCATGTCATACTGCTTTATCTGAGAACACTGTTCAACTTAGCATCCAATGGTTAACTAAGACATTGAGTCAAATCTTTAAGATTCATTGTGAGAAGAGAATGGGTTCAGAGTCAGGCAGATCAGGTGTTGAATCTTGATTCTGCCCCATATCAACCATTGCCATTTTTATATCTGACTCTCTTTCTGTCCAAACATTCCATAAACGCTCCGATTCTGTTTCCTTACCTGTAAATTGGGGATAAAGCTGCCTACATCCCAAAGGTATAGTGAAGATTAAATTAAGCAGCATGTAAAGCATTGAGTCTAGTATGTGGTATACAGAAAGCCTTAAACAAATTGCTGTTGCTATTTTACTACTTTGAACACTGTTATGTCACATTGACTGATGTTTTCTTTTCTTTTTGTTTTTCAAAGTGGGTATGTTGGTAAATCAGATACAGCCTAGACCTTTTACTAGTTCTTCTCTGGAAAACAAGCTTTACACTGGGACCTAACTGGAGAAATATATCTTTTTTCTTCTGAATATATAAAGTTAATATTTCATTCTACACAAATCAACTTGGGCCTCAGGCTCAAGTTGGGAGTGACAGGAGAAAAGAATGAGTCTGATGGATGCCTGTTAAATAGTTTATCTCAGAAATCAAGCATTTAATAATAACTTAGGCTAGGATATTTCACAACTATTTTTCCAACACCTAGAGTTTGCATGCCAGGAGGTTTATAATCACCCCTCAGTCATTGCTGGTTTCCAGGTAGTGCTAACTTACACTCCAGCTCTTACTCAATACATTCTGCAGCCTCTCTTGCCTGGCAGAGCTCTGGCAGCTTTTGCATGCAGGAACTGCTGTTTAATCATTTCTCCACTCTCTGAGGAACAGGCAGCCTTTTCTTTAGCCCTGGTCTACAAACATTGGAGGGGCCAAACACCAACAAGGAAGGATATGATCAGGAATATGGAATGGAAAGGAGAAATGGAAATTTTAGATTAGGAATAGAGAGAAAATATGATCCTAAGGATCCTTCATCAGGTAAATACTAAAAGGCACTCTGGATGGGGTGTGAAAGAGTATCTCAGTTTTATGGTACTAACTTTAAGTTAACCTGATTATCAGTGATAGATAGTGAAATCTTACATATTCACTAAATCTTCCCTTTTTGTCTTCTTCCCACCAAACTTCCAAATCATTGTTCAGATAGCAAAGTTGAGTATGTTATATTTGGCCTTTATCTTTCTACTGTGTATCTAGAAAGAGGGAACCAAAAGCTACTGTATAGATGTATAGATTTGAATAATGAAGAGTCAGCTGTATTTTAAGAATTTAGAGCAAACTACAGTTTCAGAGTTATAGGTCCTTAGTTGCATTCTAGATTTGCCATTAATTTTGTATCTTGAGCAAGTCACTTGACATTAATTAGAGACTGGGAAGAACAAAAGAAATGTTTACATGAAGTGATTGGTAAATGGTAAATCACAATATAAATGTTTAACAACAACCTCACTGGGGAGAGGACCTGCCATCTCAGGACCATGATCATTAACAGATATAAAATAAAGGCTAACAACACTTAACATGCTGTAGGCATGGTCCTAAGCGATTTGTATATAATCTCCTAATAGCTACATGGTAACTGCTACTACTTCCATTTTGCAGAAAAGAAGGCAAGCATATGGAAGTTAAGAGACTTGTGAAGTTAATTCAGCTGGTTAAATCAACTTTCCTTCCCTCCCCGCTAACACCATTTTCCTAGTTTGGACCTCACCATTTCTCATGTGGTTTGTGGCTGTATGATGATATTTGACTCCCCTATATCCACTATTCCCCTTCTGTATTCTAACAGGACAACGTTTCTTTTTCCTGAAAGTAAATCTATTGCTTAAAATTCTTTGGCTCTGCTTTTGGCCTTCTTGATCTCACCCCTTCCCATCTTGTTCAATTTCTTTAGGGCTCTTTTTCTAGAAATCTCTGCAACTTCCACTTGGAATCCTTGGGGGCATAAAATCTACTAATGATACAGTATCTAGTATTTTAATTCAGGAAAAGTTTGATGGTAGAACTCCTAAATTTAACTACCTGAAAGCAATTTTTAAAAATAGTCAATGATCACAAAGCCAGTTTTCTCTGTTATAATTCTGGCAATTGACTTTTAAACATTTTAAAAGTATAGAAACATATCTCTGTGAATATGACTATGAAAAATGCAAACATTCTCCTTGACCTGTTTCAAGGGAGTTTTCTTTTTCCCAGAACTTTATTTTTTATTTTTATATACGCCTTTAAGCACTAAATATTTCAAATGTGGGCCAACATAATTTATTCACGTACAGGGAAATGACTGTTATATAAACCATATGCATTTTGATCACATTATTATTCATGAATAGAAAAACTATTGGCATATTACTCTGAAACTTGGATGCATTTATCATGAATGTAGTCTGAAGAGCATAAAAGTCATTAAGTTAATAGTTTGTGCCCAAGTTGAACAAATATTTTAGAACTAGTATTTATTGCCCAATTATCTATCTATTTATTTATTTATTTGGACTGCTATTTTTCCTTGGATATAGCTTTTAGAATATCAACTGAGGGCCTGACAAGTAGTTCAGTGCAGTGGTAGAGCACATACTAAGTGTGCACAAGGCCAGGGTTCAATCCCCAGCAGTCTAAACTCCTCCCTATTTGTTTATAATATGATCCTTGGAGAAAAAGGATAGAGGAAAAATGCTGATTTTTGTTATGATAAATGTTGACGCATTGAACTCACTTGGCATAAAATGTTCGCATAAGCACAAACTCTTGTATAAAAACATGAGTTGCAGTGTCAGTAAAAATACATGGCTAGGCACACAGTGTCTCTCTGCACAGTGCTGTGGGAGACAGTCTGTGCTATTCTTTTTATTTATTGATTATTATATTATTGTGCTTGGGGTACCTTGTGATATTTACAAAAGTTCTTACAATAGATCATAATCAAATTCACCCCCTCCATCCACTGGAACACAGAAGACCTTTATCATTAGCATTTTCTGGGATTATTACCTCATGGAAAGAATCAATGGCAATTTCTAATATTGTCACATATATTAATTGCACTGACTTGAACAGTCCCTAGGCAGCAAACTCCCTTCTGCTGAAGGACTGTTTAGTCTGAGTTATCAAAGGGTCCAACAGTGTTTTCTGAATGTTTACCACAGGCACGAAGGATCTTACTGTGTACCAGTACAGAATGATGCATCCATTTACTGACCGATGTGTTTGGTTCTTTTGTCATAAAGTAACAGATGTTGGGTCAGTACCTAATGTTTGCATTGTACTTTATTGTGATAGAATGCTCATCATTTATAATCTTTATTAAGTCAAAACACAAGTTATTTTTGAATAACTGAAATTTATGCTGAGTTGATGAGGATTCAACAGTAGCACTTTTCACTCACATCAAAGAATAGATCTCATTCTTATTTGACCCCCAGTAAGAGTGTCAACCCCACAATGTTAATAAGGATCCACTTCTTTGAGATGCCTGGTTCTTACCCATACCAAACTTGTCACTGAATTAGATTTTATGTAGAAATTATTGAAATAGCAAATATATTATGACTCTTTCTTTATTCTATTAACTTTTAGATTTTCCTGTGGATTCTAGTAATGGAAACTGTAGAGAGGCAAGCAGTGGTGAGTATATCACTATCTTCCTGGTGTTCATTTCTGGCCAAATTAGTCTTTGATATGATCTCAGTACTCAAGTCTTATTTGTGGAAATCTGTGCCCTAACATTTAAAGAATAAGCTTGAAAATTATTTCCTTATTTATATTCATTTTATTTTTAATGTTAGAATATAATAAAAACTGACCTTTTCTTTTGGTGTTCAGTTTGATACATAGGAAATTTAATGAATATATAGATTCATGTAACCACAATCAGGATACAGAATAATTTCATCAGCTCCCCAAAAACTTCTTCATGCTATATCTCTTTTATAATCACAAGGTTCCCCTTGCCCTTATGCACTGGCCACTACTGATGTGTTTTCTTTCACTATAGTGTCTTCTGGGAATTGTCAGATAAATGAAATGATAGAGTCTATAACTTTTGAGACTGGATTTTTTTCACTCAGAATAATGCCTTTGAGATTAATCCAAGTTGTTGCATGTATCTATAGTCCATTCCTTTTGTTGTTGAATATTTTACTACTTGGATGTATTGCCATTTATTTATCCCTTTAGTCCTTGAAAGATATTTGGGTTGTTTTCAGTTTTTGACAATCAGGAATAGAGTTTCTATAAATATTTGTGCACAGGATTTTGTGTGAATATAAATTTTTATTTCTAGGAGTAAATAGCTAGGCATAAGATCACTGAGTTGTATGTATATATTATATATAAGTGTATATTTAAATTTATTAAAAATGCAAAATTATTTCCAAAATGGCCATTCGATTTTGCATTAGTAATGTTTAAGAATTCTAGCTGCTCTGTATCCTCAGTAGCAGTTTTTTTAATTCATTTATTCACATAGGTTTTTTTTTTTAATTGTTAGCCATTTCAGCAGGCATGTAGTGCTAGCTCATCATGGTTTTAATTTGCATAGCATAATTGTCATTGGTGTTGTATGTCTTTCATGGGTTTATTTGCTATTTACATATGTTCTTTTGGTCAAGTGTCTATTCAGTTGTTTTGCCAATTTTATCTTGGATTGTAGTCTAAATATTGCATTTTGAAAGTAATTATTATACATTATGGATACCAAGAACCATCTTTTGATTTAATTCATTTTCTTTATTGTTTTTCCATTATTAACTTTACTAATTTCTATTTCTTTCCTTCTGGTTGCTTTGCATTTATTTATGTATAAATTTGTTATTTTTTTATTTATGTTCTTATGATAGAGCTTATATTTGAGAACTTCCTCATATCATCTAATACTGTAATTATTCATCTAAGAATAACATTAGTTACATAACACAAATTTTGGTAGAATAAAACGATATTTTCTTCAGTTCAAAATATTTATAACTTCCCTCAAAACTTCCTCCTGACTCATGCATTGTTTAGGATTGTACTGTTTAACTTGCTTCTATTTTGGAATTTTCTGTCACCTTTATGTTATTAATTTTTCTAATTCTATTTTTGTCATAGAACATACTTTGTATGACTTCAAATCTTTTAAATTTTTTAAGGGTTTATCTTATGACCCAAGATGTGATCTATCTTGGTGAATGTTCCATGTGCACTTGGAAAAAAAGTGTATTTGTGTTTATGTTGGATGTTCTTTAAATGTGAATTTGACTCATTTGATTGAATCTGTTATTTAATTCCTTTATATTCTTGCCAACTTTCTGTCTACTAGATCTATTTTTAAAATTTTTGCTATCATATTATTGTTATGCTGGGGGTACATTGTGACATTTATAAAAGTGCTTATAATATATCTTAGTTAGATTCCCCCCCATTCTCCTTTATCTCCTTCCCTCCCTTTTAAGAATAGTTTCAACATGTCTCATTTTTCCATTTTCATACATGAATACATAATAGTTCCACTACATTCAGCCTCCTTCACCCTTTCCCTATATCCTCTCCCCTCCCACTGGTACCAACCCCCAGACAGGATCTATTTTGTCTTCTTGTCCTTTATTTTTTTAAAGATATTTTTGCTTGTTTAAGATGGCTATACAGAGAATTTCATTATGACATTCAATGTATATATATGCATGTAATATAGCCCCTTCATTTTTCTCCTTTCTACCTTAGTCCCTTTTTATGGTGATTTCAACAAATTTAAGTTTTCTAAATTTATTCTTGTATAGAAAGTACATCAACCATATTCTCCTTCCTTCTTTTACTCTCTCCTTCCCATTAGTGACCTCCCTTTAGTGTGACCTGTTTTTACATTCATGTCCTTCATTGTTAGGCATCTGTCCATTGTTCAGTGGGATTTCACCTTGGTATTTTACCTGTATGTGCATTGTCTACTAGATCTATTGCTCACTAAGAGAGGAGTGTTTCCAAATATTTCTCCAAATATTTTTGTGGATTTTCCTATGTCTCTGCACTTCTCTCCATTTTGACAGAACTATTTTGAAGCTCTGTGTTTTGGTGTACACACATCGAATATTTTTATGTCACATTGGTGAATTGATGTTTTCATTCATTATGCAATGTTTGTCTCTGTGAACTTTCTCTGCTCTAAAGTCTATTGTCTGATATTAATAGAACACTCCAGGTTTCTTTTGATTAGTGTTTTCAGTGTTTATCTTTTTCTATCATTCTACTTTTAACTTGCCTTTTTTTTAAGCAAATTTTTACTATTTTTTTTATATGGAGGTTTGAACTCAGATCCTCATGCTTGCTAGGCAAGCACTCTTACCTCTTGAGCCATGCCCCCAGCCTTTTTCACTTTAGTTTGTTTCTCATATTGGGTCATTTGCTTTTTCCTGGGCTGGCCTTGGACTGCAATTCTCCTACCTCTGCCTTCCAGGTAGCTGGGATTATAGATATGAACCACCACACCAGACTTGTGTTTTGAGATAGGGTCTTGCTAACTTTTTGCCTGGGCTGGCCTCAGACTTCAATCTTCCTATCTCTGTCATCCAAGTAGGCATGAGCCATGAGGCCAAGCACTTACTATTATTTTAAAGATAAAACTGAAATAAATTCTTGTAGATATCACACAGTTGGGTCATTTTTTTGTTGTTGATTTTTAAAATCTATTCTGCCAATCTTTGTCTTTTGATTGGTCTATTTTGGCCACTTAATCTAGCGTAATTATTGATATTTTTGTATTTAGGTCTATCATTGTGTTTGTGTTCTGTTTGTTCTCTTTCTTTTTCATTTCTATTACTTTCTTTCTTTCCCTTTCCTCTTCTCTCTGTCCCATACACTCTACAATACTGTGATACATGTATTTTATATATATATATATTATATACATACCCTTATGCATATATGTATATATACATTTCTTTACATATTTTATATGTGAATATTTATCCCTGTGAGATATCATTTCTTTCTTTTAACCATTAAATATTTTTTAAACAACTCAAGTAGAGAATAAGAGCCTGCTGTATTTATACAGATGTTTATAATTTTTATTATTCCTCCTTATTTCTCTACATGGCAGACTTCCTTCTGGTATCATTTTTCTTTTGGAAGTGCTAAATTCTTTTAGCACTTCTTTTATAGGAGTTCTGGTAGCAACAAATTCTCTGTTTTATTTTATCTGGAAAAAAAGGATATTTTCACTGCCTATAGAACTCTGGCCAGCAGTTCATTTAGCTCTTAAAAATATTATACTTACTTCTGAACTTAATTTTTTGGGGATGTTAATTGGCAGTCTTTCAAACTACTGTTCCTCCTTAAGTAATGCATCAGTGTTTGCTGAGTGCACACAATATTTCTTTCTATGTTGTTAGTTTTTTGGAGCTTGATTTTTATGATATGCTTGAGCGTTGGTCTCTTTGAGGTTATCCTTTTTAGGATTAAACTGAGGTTCCTGAAGCTCTAAGTTTATAATTTTTGCCAGATTTGAGACATGCTAAGAAATTACTTACTCAAATCCCTACTTTTTCCACTGCACCATCTTCTACTTCTGTGCTGATATGAATGTTAGATCTTTTGTTATTGCCTCCATAACTTCTGTTGATTTGTTCTCTTTATCTTTTCTCTCTCTGTTGTTTAGTTACTACTGATCTGATTTTAAGTTCATTCTCTTTTCTTAGTTATCTCCATGTTGCCATTGAATACATCCAGATATTTGTTACTGTGTTTTTCAAAATTAAAATTTCCATTTTGTTCTTCATTACATTTTTATTTCATTGTTAAGAATGTCTATTTTCCATTCATCTCAAGAGTACTCACCCTTAATTTGGGGGTGGCATTTTTATAATAGCTACCTGAAAGACACTGTAGGATAATTTCAACGTCTGTTTCATCCGATTGTCTTTTCACATGAGTTGATATTTTACTAGTTCTCTATATAGAGAGTAATTTTAGACATTTGAATAATAATAAATAAACATATAATAAATAAAATATAAATATATAAAATGAATAAAATATAACAAATAAGTAAATAAGACTTTGGGTCTTATTTAAAGTTCTATGGAGAATGTTGATATTTTTATGTTAGCAGGAGTCAACCTAGTTAGATTTAACCTAATTATTCACTGGTCAACCTATGAAAGAAAGAAGACATCAACAACCCTAAACAATATACAAAAATAGTTCAACTATCTAGAATGAATGTAGTGTTCCTTGGTTGAGTGTTTACTGTTCCTTTTTTAAAAATATTTTCCTGTTCTCTTGTATAATAGGGGTGAGGAAAATAAACAAACAGGCAAAGCCAAAGCTGATTCTGTTTGTGAAAAAACACTAATATATTCACATGTTCCAAAAAGAAAATGTAATTTGTTCACACTCAAAATTTTATACTTTGGAGAAATGTAACAGCTGAGATGGATCATAATAAAACAGGAAAGGAGAAAGGCACACACACATACACACAAACACATTGTAACCCATACAATGACCTCTTTCCAAAATGTCAAGCTATTTGTGTCTGGAATTTGGAAATGAAATTCTTTCACTCCAATTAATTCGTTCTTTGCCTCAAAGGTTAACAACTTTTCTTACTTTTTTTCTTTTTGGAGATAATGACTCTGAGAAGCTCCCAACCTGTGAGTGTGCCTTACTGTTGTAAGTGCACTGTCACAATAAGGAAGGATCC